AGCTCGTCTATGAGAGACCAGCTTCAGCTCGTCTATAAGAGACCAGCTTCAGCTAGTCTATGAGAGACCAGCTTCAGCAAGTCTATGAGAGACCAGCTTCAGCTCGTCTACGAGAGACCAGCTTCAGCTCGTCTATGAGAGACCAGCTTCAGCTCGTCTATGAGAGACCAGCTTCAGCTAGTCTATGAGAGACCAGCTTCAGCTAGTCTATGAGAGACCAGCTTCAGCTAGTCTATGAGAGACCAGCTTCAGCTAGTCTATGAGAGACCAGCTTCAGCTAGTCTATGAGAGACCAGCTTCAGCTAGTCTATGAGAGACCAGCTTCAGCTAGTCTATGAGAGACCAGCTTCAGCTAGTCTATGAGAGACCAGCTTCAGCTCGTCTATGAGAGAACAGCTTCAGCTCGTCTATGAGAGACCAGCTTCAGCTCGTCTATGAGAGACCAGCTTCAGCTCGTCTATGAGAGACCAGCTTCAGCTAGTCTATGAGAGACCAGCTTCAGCTAGTCTATGAGAGACCAGCTTCAGCTAGTCTATGAGAGACCAGCTTCAGCTAGTCTATGAGAGACCAGCTTCAGCTAGTCTATGAGAGACCAGCTTCAGCTAGTCTATGAGAGACCAGCTTCAGCTAGTCTATGAGACCAGCTTCAGCTCGTCTATGAGAGACCAGCTTCAGCTAGTCTATGAGAGACCAGCTTCAGCTAGTCTATGAGAGACCATCTATAAGAGACCTTTTTCAGCTAGTCTATGAGAGACCAGCTTTAGCTCGTCTATGAGACACCCTGGCTTATCAGTTCATCCATATAGATATGCTTATCTGTATCCTGACCTTACAGCTCCTTCTTGACAAATTACCAGGTCGTATAAATTCTTCGCATGGACTCTCTGGCTCATTATACTTTACAAATAAATCCTGTAATTTTCTCTTCTATCTATTCTAATTTTGGAAGATCTAAGTTTAAACCCATAAGCACAAAGAGCCATCCCCAAAACATCCTAATTTCACAAAGTTTTTGAAATGCTACCTATTTTCCGCTCTTTTCCACAGAGACCTTCTTTCATATCTCTCCTGTGTCTCCGCTATGAAGCATTTCCTTAATTTCGTTCATAAGGTATACTCGCTTCATTTCTTCAGTTCGTTAATGAAATATTCCACTCTCTCTCCCCTTTTTATTTCTGTAATCAAGCATCTCTGTACCAACATTTCCCCTTCCTGAGCCCCTCCCTTTCCTCTGACTATCTTCCCAAAATTCATCATTTTTTATGATCGTTGTTGTTATTATTATTTGTTGTTATTTATCATTTTTTATTTACAAAACCTTCACGCAAATATAATTTAAATTCTACCCCACCCCCGCTCCCAACTGTAACTGTTTTTGTTTTCAAAAATGAGCGGAGGGGGTTTCACAAAGTCCAACAGCTGTTGCCATTGCTAATTTCCCGTATTTGACGACTTTTCTGTCTGTCTGGCCCCAGCTTGTTGATATTCAAAATTACCACCAATCGGAAACACAAAGAAATGCCAGAGAAAGACTTACTGGTGGTATTCAGTGTCGCACGCAATTAAGGGAATTTGTTAACAAGAAATACAATAAAAAATAAATAAAAATAATAAATTCTTTACCTTTTGTCAACAGCAACAACAACAACAACAAAACTTAAACACTTCAAAGTGAAACGCACAGAGGCTAGTGAAGCGCGTTAAATAAGCTTGCCATGCACGCCAGAGACGAAAAAATCAAACAAACAGGAAGGCATATAATGTTAAGCGGATCATGTCTTGTTGTTATTTGTTGTCGTTACCGGGACAAATGTTATGAAAATAACACCTCCCCGCAGAAAAAAACTTTGTGGCAAATAAATAAAACTAACAAAAAAGGCATTCTTGTGGCAATTGAGGCATACATAATTTGTGCAGGTATTTTACAAAAAAAGAGGGAGGGGTGAGTAATTCCATTCAGTTTCTTGGTGGGTTATTTATTTCGATACAACAATAATATATAATAAAGATTTACAACAATAGCCATTGAAATGCGTTTAATTCAAAGTGGAACGGGTTTCCATGGTATTGGAATGAGTAGGGAATGATGGATACCAGAGGAGAGTTTTTATGGCTAAAATATCTTGAATTTGTTGGCGAGGAAACGTTTTTAGTTCTCTCAAAAATAATTTTCTAAAACTTGGGTTTAGTACAAAATTGTAGAGATCAGGCCTATAAATAGATTATTTTTGCCTCGGTTGTAGGTTCCTATGACACACCTTATCTGTCTTGTCTGAGAGAACTACTTCAGTTCGTCAATCACAGAGTGGGAAAAAAAGGAAGAGAGCAGAATCAGCTATTCTATCAGAAAGAGATAGATATATAGAGCAGCTTTATTCATGTGAGAGACCAGGTTTTAAAAAAAAGGTGTAACCTCGATGTGAAAAATAAGTTTTAAATCATCGGTGGGTGACCAGCATTAGCTCGTCTGTGGGAGACCAGCTTTAGCTCGTCTGTGAGAAACCAGTTTTTGCTTATCTATCAGAGAACGAGACACACCAGATTTAGCTCGTATCTGAGAGACCACAAAGAGGGAGACCAGCTTCAGCTCATCTATGAGAGACCAGCTTTAGCTTCTTTATGAGAGACCGGCTTCAGCTCGCCGATGAGAGACCAGTTTCAGCTCGTGTATAAAATACCGTAGCTCGTCTGTAGGAGACCACAGAGAAGGGGACCATCTTCCGCTTGTCTATCCGAGAGAGAGAGAGAGAAAGCAACTTCAGCTCGTCTATGAGAGACCAGATTCCTCTTGTCTATGAAAGACCAGCTTCAACTTGTCTTTGGGATACTAGCTTCATCTCGTCTATGGGGGACCAGCTTCAGCTCGTCAATAATAGAGCCCCGTACTTTGTGTCTAGTTGTGTACGAACTATTAAATCCAACTCATTTATGAGACATGGTTTTTGGCTCAAATCTGAGAGCACTTCTTTAAGATATCGCTGAGAGACGCTCTTTTTTATATTAAATAGGCCTGGACCTTAGGACGTCTAGGAGAGATGAGATAGGTCGTTTAGGACGTCAATGAGAGACACCCTCTAGGACATACGTGAGAGACACCCCCAAGGACATACGTGAGGGACACCCCTTAGGACTTCTGTAAGATCCGACTTATAAAATATCTGATAGGAATATCCATTTTCATTTCGGCTATGGCAGACACCCTGGCCCTGCAGCCATGCTGGCCCTGCAGACATCTTGGCCCTGCTGACATAGTGGCCCTGCTGACATCCTGGTCCTTCAAACATTCTTGCCCTTCAGACATCCTGTCCCTATAGATAGTCCGGCTCTTTAGAAGTCCTATCCCTTCAGACATTTTGTTTCTTCAGACATCCTGGTCCATTAGACATCCTTGCCCTACAGACATCCTGGCCATTTAGACATCCTAGCCCTTCAGATATTCCGGATCTTCAGATATCCTGGCCCTATAGAGAGTCCGGTCCTTTAGACATCCTTACCCAGCTGACATTATGGTCCTTCAAACATTGTTGTCCTTCAGACATCCTTGCCCTTCAGACATCCTGCCCCTATAGATAGTACGGCTCTTTAGAAATCCTATCCCTTCAGACATTTTGTTTCTTAAGACATCCAGGTCTTTTAGACATCCTATCCCTTCAGACATTCTGGCTCTTCAGACATTCTGGCTCTACAGACATTCTGGCTCTTCAGACATTCTGGCCCTTCAGACATTCTGGCCCTTCAGACATCCTGGCCCTTCAGACATCCTTGCCCTTCAGACATCCTTGCCTCTTAGACAGTCTGGCCCTTTAGACATCCAGACCCTTTAGACAGTCTGGCCCTTTAGACATCCTAGCCCTTCAGATATTCTGGCTCTACAGACATTCTGGCTCTTCAGATTTTCTAGCTCTTCAGACATCCCTGTCTCTCAGACATTCCTGCCCTTCAAACATTCTGGCATTCAGGCATCCTTGCCCTATAGTCAGTCTGGCCCTCCGGACATCCTGTCCCTGCAGACATTCTGACCCTGCATACATTCTAACCCCGCAGATATCCTGGCCCTTTAGACGTTCTAGATCTCCAGATATCCTGCCCCTTCAGACATTCTGACCATTTCCACCCATACAGTTGGTCTATACCGATAGACTCCCTGCCACTATCCAGCTTGTGCATACCGATAGGCTCCCTGGGGCTTCAACTCATCTTTACCAAGACTCCCTTGGCCTTTAGCTCGCCTATATCGACAGACTCCCTGATGTCAGTTCATGTATGTCGACAGACTCCTTAAGCCCTAGGGTTTTATCCAGCTCCTCTATATCGATAGATTCCCTGAACCTCCAGTTCGTTTATGATCGATATACTCACCCTTCAGCTCGTCTATGACCGATAGTCCTTGGCTCGTCAGCTGACATATGATCGATAAGCCCTTTGGCCCGCCAGCTCGTCTATGATCGTTAGGCTCTTTATAAACAAAAGCTCATCTCAGAACGATAAACTTGCTGGTCCTACACCTCGTCTATGACAGATAGACTCCCTGGTCCTGTCCAGCTCATCTATTAACAATAGACTCCATGGTCATCCAGCTAATTTTCGAACGAGTCCTTCAGCGCCTCTATAATCAATAAACTCGCTGGCTCCCCAGTTTGTCTATGAAAAATAGACTCCCTTGCCCTCCAGCTCATCTGTAAGTTCAGTACATTCAGCTAATCACTGATAGACGCCCAGACCACCTTCGTCTATTGTATTTGTTCACAAAATAATTCATATTGATGACCGCTTTTTAAATTTTTAACTTTTGTCTCTATTTTAATTATTTATTCAAATAATTCCTGGAATTTGTTTTTTGAATACACCAGACATTTATTTATCAATTAACCGCATTCCGAGAATTTTGCAATTCTTCTGCCTGTCCACATCCAAATTTTGCCATGGCTCTTTTAACATGACTTTTTACTCAGTGCTAATTGTTTTTCACAATTTCTTTTTTTGTCTCTATCACCTTACAGATTTAGTCCAACACGTGCTCCAGCGCCATGGGATGGTATACGAATTTCGGATAAGTATAGTCCCGTGTGCCCGCAACGTTTGCCAAATATACAAAATGAGACGGCAGCCTTGGAGAAAATGCCAAAGGGGCGATTGGAGTACTTGAAACGTTTGTTGCCATTTCTAGAGAATCAATCAGAAGACTGTCTATATTTAAATATATTTTCACCGATAAATGGTAAGTGGGAAGGAAGGAACTATAAGGGATATAAATTAAAATTTAAAGGCTCACACACATATATACATATAATAAGTAATATTTTTAAAATATAAATATTTTTTAACTTTTTTTATGAAAAATGAAAAATACATGCATCCCATTTTCTCTCTCCTTTGGGCATTGTTAAATTTAAATTACATTTACATTACATTTATCCGTTATTCATTTAAATAATTATTTAATAAATAACAAAAATAAATAATTTAATTTTCAAATTTATTTCGTGATAAAAATTGAATTAATTTCGCGGGGACAACAACTGAAAACACTAGCCAATTGGCTTGGCTACAATTTACAATGACAACCCACCTTCCCTTCAATTTAAAAACATAGGTAAACTATAATAATAAAATTACATTAAAATTTACTAGTAAAACAAAAACAACAACAATAACATAATTTATATGAGAAAATTTAATTAAAAATTTACCACAAAAAAAAATATAAAAAAAAACAACAAGTATCAAAATCTCATTAATTTATCAAATGTAAAATAAACAACACCCTCTACAATTACGTAAAAATTAACCAGTGTCAAGTTGTTGTAACTCGGTTTCGCCCACCGGCAGGTTTAATTCATGGTACAACAGCAACAACAAACTTGAAAAAATAAGCACCAATTCAATTTATTCAAATTGCAAAACAGAATCGAACAATTCAGTTTTGGGAGAGAAATAAAATTGAAATTATAGTAATTATAAAAAGGTTGAATGTAATTAAAATATAAGACCTCTCGTGAAATTTCATTCCAGGTCAATCAAGGTTTTTTGATTTTTAAAAAAAATATTTTTCAAGGACCTCCAAACCATTAATTTTGGATTTTTTAAAGAATATTCTTTAGTAACCTCAAGGCCATTAAGAGTGGTGTTTTTAAAGAATATATTTCAAGGTCCTCCAAACCATTAATCAAGGATTTTTAAAAGAATATTTTTCGAGGACCAACTTACCAATAAACGTGGATTTTTAGAAGAATATTTTTCAAGGACCAATAAACCAGTAAACGTGGATTTTTTAAAGAATATTTTTCAAGGACCAATAGACCATGAAACGTGGATTTTTAAAAGAATATTTTTCAAGGACCAACTGACCATTAAACATGGATTTTTTAAAGAATATTTTTCAAGGACCAATATACCATTAAACGTGGATTTTTCAAAAAATATTTTTCAAGGACCTATAGACCATTAATCGTGGATTTTTTAAAGAATATTTTTCAAGGACAAATAGACCATTAAACGTGGATTTTTTAAAGAATATTTTTCAAGGACCAATAGACCATTAAACGTGGATTTTTTAAATACTACTTTTCAAGGACCAATAGACCATTAAACGTGGATTTTTTAAAGAATATTTTTCAAGGACCAATAGACCAATAAACAAATGCAAATATTTTTCCAGGACCAACTGACCAACAAACGTGGATTTTTAAAAGAATATTTTTCCAGGACCAACTGACCAATAAACGTGGATTTTTAGAAGAATATTTTTCAAGGACCAACTGGCCAAAAAACGTGGATTTTTAAAAGAATATTTTTTCCAGGACCAACTGACCAACAAACGTGGATTTTTAAAAGAATATTTTTCCAGGACCAACTGGCCAAAAAACGTGGATTTTTAAAAGAATATTTTTTAAGGACCAACTGACCAATAAACGTGGATTTTTTAAATAATATTTTTAAGGACCAATAGACCATTTAACGTGGATTTTTTAAAGACTATTTTTCAAGGACCAATAGACCATTAAACGTGGATTTTTTAAAGAATATTTTTCAAGGACCAATAGACCATTAAACGTGGATTTTTTAAAGACTACTTTTCAAGGACCAATAGACCATTTAACGTGGATTTTTTAAAGACTATTTTTCAAGGACCAATAGACCAATAAACAATTCCAAATATTTTTCCAGGACCAACTGACCAACAAACGTGGATTTTTAAAAGAATATTTTTCAACGACCAACTGACCAATAAACGTGGATTTTTTAAAGACTATTTTTCAAGGACCAATAGACCATTAAACGTGGATTTTTTAAAGAATATTTTTCAAGGACCAATAGGCCATTAAACGTGGATTTTTTAAAGACTACTTTTCAAGGACCAATAGACCATTAAACGTGGATTTTTTAAAGAATATTTTTCAAGGACCAATAGACCAATAAACAAATCCAAATATTTTTCAAGGACCAACTGACCAACAAACGTGGATTTTTAAAAGAATATTTTTCCAGGACCAACTGACCAATAAACGTGGATTTTTAGAAGAATATTTTTCAAGGACCAACTGGCCAAAAAACGTGGATTTTTAAAAGAATATTTTTCCAGGACCAACTGACCAATAAACGTGGATTTTTAGAAGAATATTTTTCAAGGACCAACTGTGCCAAAAAACGTGGATTTTTAAAAGAATATTTTTCCAGGACCAACTGGCCAAAAAACGTGGATTTTTAAAAGAATGTTTTTTAAGGACCAACTGACCAATAAACGTGGATTTTTTAAATAATATTTTTTAAGGACCAACTGACCAATAAACGTGGATTTTTTAAATAATATTTTTTAAGGACCAACTGACCAATAAACATGGATTTTTAAATAATATTTTTTAAGGACCAACTGACCAATAAACGTGGATTTTTTAAATAATATTTTTTAAGGACCAACTGACCAATAAACGTGGATTTTTAAAAGAATATTTTTCAAGGACCAACTGTCCAATAAACGTGGATTTTTTAAATAATATTTTTCAAGGACCAACTGTCCAATAAACGTGGATTTTTTAAATAATATTTTTCAAGGACCAACAGACCAGTAAACGTGGATTTTTCGACGAATAATTTTCAAGAAATTCTAGACCATTAATCCTGTATTTTGAATGAATATTTTACAAGGACTTTTAGCCATTTAGAGTGGATTTTTTTAACAAATATTTTTCAAGGACTTCCAGACCATTTAGTTTGGATTTATAAGGAATATTTCTCAAAGACCTCCAGATTATTAAGAGTGGATTTTTAAAGAATATTTTCCAAGGACCTCAAGACTATTAAGAGTGGATTTTTCAAAGAATATTTTACAAGGACATCTAGGCCATTAACAGTGGATTTTTAACACACATTTTTCAAGGACTTCCAGAACATTTAGTTTGGATCTTTTAAATAATATTTTACAAGGATCTCTAGGTCATAATTCCTGGATTTTTAAAGAATATTTTACAAGGACCTCTAGACCATTTAGAGTGGATTTTTTAAAAAATATTTTTCACGGACTTCCAGACCATTTAGTTTGGATTTTTTAAGAAATATTTTCAAAGAACCTCAAGACTATTAAGAGTGGATTTTCACCGAATATTTTCCAAGGACCTCAAGACTATTAAGAGTTAATTTTTCAAAGAAAATTTCACAAGGACCTCTAGGTCATTAAGAGTGGATTTTTAAAGAATATTTTTCAAAGACATCCCGACCATTAATCGAGGAATTTTTAAAGAATATCCTTCTAGGATCTCCCGACCATTAATCGAGGATTTTTTAAAGAATATTTTTCAATGACCTTCAGGCCATTACGAGCGAATTTTTTATAGAATATATATAAGATACATCGTGTCTTTTATGGGTCCTTTAAAATCCTTTCATCTATGAAAACCTTTAAACTGTGTTTTGTCTTGAGAGGGATACATCAATTTACGAAAATTATTTATAACAGTGGGAATTCCCAGCGATTAATTACAAAGATGAGGTTCAGGAAGACAGGTTAAGTGGCAATACTTATTCTCAAACGGAGTTCACTTGCTCTACAAGATGTCACACACGCACTCACACGTTAACATCATCTACAATGAGTGATGATATCACAATTAACTTCCACCTCAACCACTTCATTTATTTAGTGTGGGGTATACGTATGTGAATGTTTATGTGTGTGTAATGTGTGTTAATGTCATCAAAACACGCGTATAAATCAACAAGAACAACAACAACAATATGAACTATAAATTTAAGACATAAGAACCCCATGGAAGATATTTTCATTGGTACAAATTAGTTAAACAGGGACGTGGAAAGGACTGTCTCCAAACATAAAGAAATTTGAGATTTTGAGGCGACCAGCAAAGAGATGATTTCATTCCTTGGCCTCCCTCAAAATGGAATCTAATTTCAAAAATTAAATAATCACTTCTGGGAGATCATCAGGTGGAATGATGGCAAAGGCTGATTGCAAAAATCAGAGAAATCTGAATATGCGAGGATATTTACAAGCAAAAGACATAAAAAAATTATAGAGGAAATTCTTTTAACTGATTACGGCAAAATAATTGTTAGTGGAAGAAATACCCAGCTACCAGGTCATGCGACCGAAAGTTCGGATACAAAATCCGGGTATTATCCGGTTCTACAAAACTGATATGTAAATGGGTATCATTTGAAAGCTTATGGAAATACCTATCCTATGGGGCAGTTTGAACAGGTACCGGAGCAATAAAATAAATTGTATAGGAACTTTTTGAAAAAAAAACTCCAAAAAGTGAATATATTTAAGGAGGATTTTTTCAGAAAATATTTCAATAATATTTTTCAACTACCATTCGACCAATAAGCGTGGATTTATGAAGAATATATTACAAGGACCATCATGCATTTTTGAGAATATTTTTCAAGGACCATCAAGGATTTTTTTAAGAATATGTTTCAACCTATCGTTGATTTTTTTTTTTTTTTTTTTTGGAATACTTTTCAATCACCTTTCCCAGCTATAATTCTGGATTTGTCTAAGAAACTTTTTTCAGGGATCTTCACAGCTAGAATCGCGGATTCTATTTAGAATTTTTTTTTCAAGGACCTCCTTAACTATAATTGTGGAATTTTTAGGGAATATTTTTTAAGGACCGCTCCTACTAGAATCGTGAATTTTACTAAAGAGCATTTTTTAAGGATCTTCCCAAATCTAAATGTGAAATTTTGGGGAATATT